TCACGGAGTACTTACTCTGAGGGAGATCTCTCAGGCCTGGAGAAAAACTAGGACTCAGTCACTGCCTTTTGGCAGTGGCTTTGGCCTGGGCCCCCAGCATTGGGTCTGGACTGGCTGGCTCAACATTTGTAATTTCTTTAAAGGTTTTACTATGTATGCACATGTGTATGAGTACTCATGAATTTTAGGATCTCACGCAAACTCAACACTTTATTCTATTTCTAAAAGCTTATATATATATATATATAACCATCTGTGGAATTATACAGACTAATCTTATATATACATATATGCAGATACATCCTTTTGGGTTTTTTTTTTTAAAGATTTATATATTTTTAATTGGCAAGCCAGATACACAGAAAGGGGGAAAGACAGAGAGGAAGATCTTCCGTCCGATGGTTTACTCCCCAAGTGAGCACAACGGCTGGAGCTGAGCCAAGGAACCAGGAGTTCTTCTGGGTCTCCCACATGGATGCAGGGTTCCAAGGCTTTGGGCAGTCCTTGACTACTTTCCCAGTCCACAAGCAGGGAGCTGGATGTGAAGCGGGGCCACCGGGATTAGAACCAGCGCCCATATGGGATGGTGGTGTGTGCAAGGCAAGGACATTAACCACTAAGCTATGACGTCGGATCCTTGTTTTTTAAAGGCAGATTTACAGAGAGAAGAAGAGGCAGAGAGGAAGATACCTTTAATTCTCTGGTTTACTTCCCACATTGCCACAGTGGCTGGAGGTGAGCTGATCTGGAGCCAGGAGCTTCTTTCTGGGTCTCCCACACAGGTGCAGATGCCCAAAGACTTGAACCATCCACCACTGCTTTCCAAGGTGATAAGCAGGGAACTGGATCAGAAATAAAGTAGCCAGGACCCAAACTGGAGGAGGCAAGGAAAATCCCAGAGCCTATGGAGTTGTTTCATAAAATTAAAACAGAAACAAAAAGAACAAAAAAACCAGCAGCAGTTGTGACAGAGTGGGCTTGACATCACCAATTTGATTAACAGCAAGGGGCTGTCTTTTTCCAACTGGATAACCTCCTTTTGGGGGATACATTTTACTTCCCAGAAGGTATGCATTATTAAAATTCACAAGGGTGAATTTTGGTATAGCAATTCAGGTGCTGCTCAGGACACCTAACAAGCCAGTGTCCAAAGCTGGAGTGGAGTGCCTGGGTTTAAGGCTCACTTCCATTTTTCCCTTCCTGCTTCCTGTTGATGTGTATCCTGGAGGCAGCAGGTGATGGCTCCAATACTTGGGTTCCTGCCACATATCTGGGTGACCCAGAATTGAGCTTCTGGCTCCTGGCTTCCATCTTGGCCTGGCCTCAGCTGTTGTGGGCATTGGGGGAATGAATCAGTGGATGGAAAATATTTTCCTCTTTTTTTTCACACTCCACACACATTCACATACACACACACACACACACACACATGCTTGGCCAGCAACTAAGACAACAGCAGCAATAGGAGTCTGTCTCAAATTCTAATATCAGCTTCCTGCTAATTTCATATTCCAGGAAGTACCATGCCATCTGTCCGGGGTGGGATCTCTGCTACCACTGTGGGAGACCTTGATTTTAGCTCCTGGCTCCATCCCTTCCCACCTGTTGTTGTTGTCGAGAATCTTCTCTTTCAAATAAATAAAATTAAAGACAAATTCATACAAACGTGCTGCATGTGCTCCTGTAGTCCTAATTCCATTGAGTGAGGTATAGGGGAATTCCTTGAATTAGTTTCTTCATGTTAATTTGCTTCCCAATTGCATCTACTATTAACACACTTTCCTTACTGAACATCTGTGTTTTGCTTATTTTCTTTTAATTATTTGAAATGCAGGGTGGGCACACATACACAGATGGGGGGAGGTGGCACTCGATCCTAGACACTCTAATATTGAATTTAGACACATCAAGCTGAGGCTTAAGCACATGTGCCACTATGCCTACCCTGTAGGTTGGTTTTGCATCTTCAAATAGATGAGTTAAAGCCATGAATACTTTTATGTCTCTTTATAAATATTACCAAACATGTGGCTTTCCAAAGTAATGCTATCACTGTTCTCTACCTCCTTTGGTATAACAGCATCCTCCAAATCATGGGCTTCTTTGCTCGTTTGGAGAATAACCAATCCTTCTTATGAAAAACTTGTAGTGAAATATCAGACAACTTTATTCCTCAAAGGTTCCTAAGACATGGAAAGTTCTAGATGGTTTCTGAGCAGGCTGATATATATATATATATATATATATATATATATATATATATATACACACACCTTTTAAAAATATTAGCAAAATCTTGATGATTGTACCGAGCACGTCTGATGGTGCTTGGAGCTGCTGTATTCCACCATGCCTACCCCAATTTAAATAGATTTTGGCTTACATTGGACTCAGTTACCGTAAAATAAATCAGAATTCTAAATTAATTTAGACACAATTACATCAATAACTAAGTGCAGCCAGCAGCTTCAAAACAGCCATCAAACACTAAGTTAGGGGCCCAGTCAGGGCTCCATTGGCTAAGCTTTTCCTTTCCTTTTTTTTAAGATTTATTTATTTTTTATTATAAAGTCAGATATACAGAGACAAGGATAGACAAAGAGGAAGATCTTCTGTCCAATGATTCACTCCCCAAGTGGCCGCAATGGCTGATGCTGCGCCAATCTGAAACTGGGAGCCAGGAACCACGCGGGCAAAGGGTCCGGGTCCCAAAGCTTTTGGCCGTCCTTGACTTTTTTCCCAGCCCACATGCAGGGAGCTGGATGGGAAGCAGAGCTGCCGGGATTAGAACCGGCACCCATATGGGATCCCAGGGCGTTCAAGGTGAGGACATTAGCCGCTAGGCCATGGTACCAGGCCCTAAGCTTTTCCTTTCAAGCACCAGCATCCCATATGGGTGCTGCTCCTGTCCCAGCTACTCTACTCCCCATCTAGCTCCTTGCTTACTGCCTGGGAAAGACACGGAGAATGGCCCAAAGCCCTGGAACCCTGCAACCATGTGGGAGACCCAGAGGAAGCTCCTGGCTTCAGATCAGCTCATCTTGGCTGCTGCAATCATTGGGAGAGGGAACCAGGGAACCAGCCAATGGGAAATTTTTCTGTCTCCCATTGTCTATGTAAGTCTGCCTTTCCAACAGAAGTAAATAAATGTTAAACACATTCACACAGTAAGAATTATAAAGGGATTTTTTAAAAAAAGATTTATTTACTTGAAAGGCAGAGTGACAGGGAAAGAGGGAGAGAGACCCATCTTCTATTTGCAGATTCACTGCCCAGAAAAGCCTCCACAACAGAAGCTGGGGGCTTCATCAGGTAGATGGTAGGGGCCCAAGCACTCACACCAGGCGGACTCGGAGGGAGCTGGGTCAGAAGCGGAGTGGCCAGCATCCATGCAGGGATACAGGCAGCAGCTTAATGCTCCAGGCCAAACACCAGTTTCCAGATTATTATTATTTAAAAAAAAAATGATGGGGGTACCTAGTTTGGGTAATTCAGGGAGAAATTGAGCTGAATCATTCTTACTTTTCACTGGACATGGAGGGCCCTTCAATTAATTACCATTCACTTACCCTCTTCAAATTGAAATAAATAACCCCGTATTTCACAAACCACGCCTTATTTGATGAGTTACTGTCATAGTATCTGGGGAAGAAAACGAAAAATATTCAGAATTTATATCCTGTCTAAGTCAAAAGCCCACTTTCGCCAGCTAGGGAAGTTACTGCTACAATGAACTAAGGAGCAAGACTTGGTAAGCGCGTGTCTATCAATAGACCAGACCAAGCACTCTGTTGGGAATTTGCAAAGTATTAAGCCCCCCTCCCCCCCTTTTTTTTATTTAACTTCGTTGACCTCAGTATTACCACGGTTTAAAAATGGGCACAATTCTCCTGCACCCAACAAACAGACCTGTTACAGGAATTAACGAGTCTATAAAAGCATGTGGTCAGCTCTGGCAGGCCTTCCTAAACACACAGTCCTGGATTCCCGTAGTTCCTGCTCTTTGAAGACATGCCAGTCCATTAGCATGTCTAAAGCGACACCTTCTACCACTGTTAAGTTCACCACGAGCGCTCGTAAAATTAATTCTTGAAACGGTTCCTATCTCATGTGAGAGACCCGGCTTTCAGCAATGGTTTCCACTACCCATGAAGTCAACTTTAAAAGGAAGAGTGGAACGCAGGCTATTCCTCAAAGCCAGAGGCGCAGCTCCGGGCACGGGGAGGGGAGCCCGGGGCACAGTCCACACAGCCGGGTGAGGGCTTCGCGACGCGCGGCCCCGGGAGGGGGGCTCCCCGAAAGCTCCGTGGCTCCCCGAAAGCAGGCCAGCCTCTGCCGGCGGCGGCCCCAGCGGGGCTCGATTACTCTCGCCTGGGCGAGAGGCCGCAGCGCGGCGGCCCGAAGGAGCCGGCCCCGCGGCGGGGAGGTGGGGCGACGACAACAACACAAAAAGCAGCCCGGTGGGAGGAGACTCGCCGGCCGGGGGGACTCGGCAGGGCCCCGCAGCCGGCCAGGCGAGCGCGGCGGGCGGCGGGCGGCGGGCGGCGGCGGGCGCGGCCCAGGCCGCCTTCCCCAGCGCGGCCCGCCTTCCCGAGCGCGGCCCGGACCCCCCGCCCCTCCGGCCCGCCCCCTCGCCTAGCGCCGCCCGCGCGCAGCGTCTCGCGCCGGCCCTGCCCGCCGGGAAACAGCCGCGAGAGCAGCGGTGCGGCGGCCGCCCGCGCGCCCTGCCCGCCCTGCGCCCGCCCGCGCCCGCGTCCCGCCGCCCCGCCGGCCTCCCGCCCCGCCGGCCTCCCGCCCCGCGTCCCGCCGCCCCGCCCGCGGCGCCCCGGCCAACGTTCTCTCGGGGCCTCCCCGGCCTCGCCGCCCACTTGCCCGCGTCCCCGGGCCCCCCAACCGCCGCGCTCTCCCGGGGCGCGCGGCCCGCCGCCTGCTTCCGGGGCGGGCGGACTCGGCGCCTGGTGCCGGCGGCCGCAGCAGCGACAGCGCCCCCGGCTAGCGGAGGAGGAAGGAGAGAGGAGGTGGAGGTGGCCGCAGCCTGAGTCGCGGCCGGGATGTCCGGGCAGCCGCCGCCGCCGCCGCCGCAGCAGCAGCAGCAGCCACCGCAACAGCAGCAGCAGCAGCAGCAGCAGCTGCAGCTGCCGCCGCCACCGCCGGCGGCCGTGGCCCCGATCTCCGGAGTCGTTCTGCCCGCGCCCCCGGCCGTCAGCACCGGCTCCTCTCCGGCCGGCTCGCCCGGCGGCGGCGCGGCCGGCAGCAGCAGCAGCAGCAGCAGCAGCAGCGGCGGCGGCGGCGGAGGCTTGGGGGCCGCGGCCGCCGCGCTGCTCCTCCACCCGCCGCCGCCGCCGCCGCCGCCCCCGGCCACCGCGGCCCCGCCGCCTCCGCCGCCGCCGCCGCCCCCCGCCTCGGCAGCCGCCCCGGCCAGCGCGCCCCCTGCGCCCCCGGGCCTCTCCGCGGGCCCCGGCCCGGCCCCGGCCCTGGCGGCGGCGGGCAGCAGCTCCGCGGCCCCCTTCCCGCACGGAGACTCGGCCCTGAACGAACAGGAGAAGGAGCTGCAGCGGCGGCTCAAGCGCCTTTACCCGGCAGTGGACGAGCAGGAGACGCCGCTGCCGCGGTCCTGGAGCCCGAAGGACAAGTTCAGCTACATCGGCCTGTCGCAGAACAACCTGCGGGTGCACTACAAAGGTACTGGGCGTGTGTCCTGTGGTGGGAGCGGGGCGCTGACCCGGCGTGCCCGGCGGCCGCCCTCGGGGGCCGGGTCTTCTGAGATGCCCCGGCAGGGGTCCGCGGCTTGGGGATGTGTGGGTGACTCTAGGCCGAGGCCCCCTGGGGGGGGGCGGACACGAAGGGGCGGGTGGTGCTAGGCCAGGAGTAGGACACCGGCAGGGACTCGGGATGACAGGACGGAAGTCGTCCTCGGATTTGGCCGAGATCACTCTGGGGACTCGGCTGAAGGCATCTGTGGGCACGAGCTTGGGTTACATTGTTCTCCAAGTGATGGGGGTCAGGAGAGGAAGAGAGGCACGGGTTCTGGGGTACGGCTTCTGATGAAGGGAGAGGCAGGCAGACGGGGGGAGGGGGAGGAGTGAGCAGTGGAGGATGTCGCCCACAATTAGGCCAGGGACTGTGAAGGGGGACAAAAGGGACAGGGGCCCCAGGTTTGCCATCTCTGTATCCTGAGAGCCAGGGGGAGGGTGCGAGAGGGGAGAGCGCTCCGGAGCGTGGGGCTTCCTGGGGGAGCAGAAACCTGTCACTCCTGCTCCGAGGTGCCCTGCATTTCCGGGTTGGCGTTCGGTGAAGTCTTCTTGAAAAGCACGGGGGGCGGGGAGGGGGGGACGGTTTCCACCAGTGTTATTTAGTATCGTAAAGGAAAGTGAATTCTGCTTTGCACCTGCAGTAAAAATAAGCAAGAAATAGCCTTGGGCTGATGCTTGCCGCTCTCCCCTCCCCCCTCCCACCTACTTCTAGGGTGAAAAACAAAGGTTTATAAGCAAATCAGTTGCATAGATCATGTTGAATTGCGATTGGAATTTTTTTGAAACGTTAACTCAGATTAATAACGTGAGACAAGTTTGTGTGGAATAAAAATCTCCTTGTCCTGCACTAGTCTGTCTGGAAACAGATCGGGTGTTTTAGGCCCTAAACCTCACGCTACTGGAGCTTTCACCGTCAAAGCAGCCTCATTTTGATTGGCTACAAACGCAGGGCCTTGTACTCAGTCTAGTGGCCTGTCTGCAGAGGTATGAACAACTTTGTAGCTAAATTCTTGAAAGTATACAGGAATGAAATGGGAAAAGAACCTTGATAAATAAGTTACTACTTAATCGGAAAGGACAATGGCAACAAAAATCTACCAAATGTTTGGGCACAAAAATAGGCCTTGGGGAATGTTACTTCCCAGCCCCAAAAGTAGTTTTTCAAAATGTTGTATCTGTGTGAGTGTGAGTTAGGATGTTTTGTTAATTTCCATGGGCAGTAGTGTTTATGTTTCTAGGTGCAAGTGGACCGTGCTGTATTCTGAAATGTTTACTTGTGACCTGGCTACGCAGGGAGCTTTTGTCCCCCTTGACAGAACTTCTGAAGTTTGAGGTTGATGGTGAACAGGAGCTGTGCTTTTGAGAGCTGACACAACTAGCATCCAGCTATCCTGGGTCCCCCAGGCACTTGAACAGTAGGTGTTAGGAGACATGGCCCAGGTTTCTTCGAGAAGTGAAGGGGAAGGATGGTAGGTGAGGAAGTGTCCAGCTCTGCTTCTCTGTGGTACCCAAGGTTGTGGTTTGTTCGGCACTGTAACATACTTTGTTTAGTTGTGTTTACATAAAACTGATGTTTTGGGTTGGTGAAAAGTGTTTCTAAGAAATTGATTGAAGTTTGGATTATTTATGATACTGCTATCTCTGTTATCCGCCCTGCTGGCTTCTTTATTCTTTACCGTAGGGTAAATCTGGTCTTTGATAAATCATTATCTCTGGAGGAACAGGTTTTTTTTTTTTTTGTCACCTTTTCCTCTTTCCTTTGTTCCCCCTTGTGACACAGTTTTTTATCTCCCACCTTTCTCTCTGTTTCCTGTTGTTTCCCGTGTCTTTTAGGAGGACTCCAGCTGTGCTGGACATCTTTGTCCGGTAAGCAAAGGAAAGGGGCAGTGGGACAATGTCCTCCGTAGTGGATAATGATGCTTTGATACCCCACAATAAAAGGAAAAGAGTGGATTCTTGTTTATTATTGGGCTGCAGTGATTTTACATAATCACTATGAGACACTTGGAACATTAAAAGCAGTTTTTTGTTTTTGCATATTATAGATTTTAAAGTTTTATCACAATGATTTTACCAGAATGATGAACATTTTCTTTAACTTTGAAATACAAATGTCTTGATTTGTTTTTGCCCTGAAAAGATCTTGTTTTTAGATGTTATTCTAAATCACACTTGTTGCTTTTGGAAGCTGCATTGTTTCTTGAAACAATTGGAAAGGATTATTGCCAAACATATAGATAAAATTGATTGGCTTCCAGAAGAATAAAGGTTTATGCTAGCCCTTTATTAGCCTTTGGCTAAGCTGTAGCAAACCAATATTGAAACACTTGGGAATAGCCCATCTTATTTTTCAAATTCTTGTGGATAACCACATATGTGACAGTTTGACTTCATCATAATGATAACTTTATTCAAATTCTTGAATATTTCAATGAACAGGAAGGCATATTCACTTTGTCTAAATGTTTTAACTACACATTGCATTTTTTGTATTTTTCAAACTACTGTTATTACAGAGTGTTTTGATATACACTACTGGATGTGGACAAGATTGCGGAATTCTCACTGTAGGTTGGAGAAAGTAGAAGTCACCTGGTCGTTAGATTTTCCCAGTCACAGGAAGTTGAGATTGGAAACTAGTTTCCAACAACTGAGTGCTCTTTGTGCTTTATTTTATTGTGGCTGCTGTGAGTTCCTGTGAGAATTGGCTCCACTGGATAAAGTCCTGTGAGCGCTTTAGACCTCTTTGACAGTAATGGGGATTAGATATTTGTGAGGGACAACTGTTTGGCTCAGGGGGTGAAGATGCTCCTTGGGATGCCTGCGTCCCGTTTGACCGTGTCCTGACTCTGCAAGGGATCCAGGTTCCAAAGGAACACCTGGGAACTGACAGGTGGTGGTCAGGTGGTATTTGAGATCCTGCCACCATTGTGGCAAATCTCTATTGAGTTCCTTGCTCTTGGCTTTGGTGTGGTTTATTCCTGGTTGTTGTGGGAGTTAGAGTGGATGGGATTTAGTTTAGTGCTTCATTTTTTATTTTTTTCAAAGATAGATTTATTTATTTATTATTGGAAAGTCAGATATACAGAGAGGAGAGGCAGAGAGGAAGATTTTCCATCTGATGATTCACTCCCTAAGTGGCTGCAATGGCTGGACATTGAGCTGATCTGAAGTGAAAAACCAGGATCCTCTTCCATGTCTCCCACGTGGGTACAGGGTCCCAAGGCTTTGGACTGTCCTCCACTGCTTTCCCAGCCTACAAGCAGAGAGCTGAATGGGAAGCAGCGCTGCTGGGATTAGAACCTGCGCCCTCATGGAATCCTTGCATGCGCAACGCAATGCCTTTAGCCGCTAGGCTACCACGCCAGGTCCATTTTAGTACTTTTTATATATAATTGCTTATTTTGAAATCTTGCTGTTAAGGTGGAATATTTCCACTTTAGGCAAACAGTCGCTTGTCCACATATGCAAATTTCTGTTAAGAATTATGAGGATTGCCCCATACTTAGAATCAAGAAATTGAAAACCCAGCCTGTGGGCTGATATGGTGCTGTGGATTGATTAAGCCACGGCTTCTGACTTCCACCTTCCATAGCAGGGTGCTGGTTCTAGTCCCAGCTGCTCCACTTCCTACTAATGTGCCTGGGGATGAAGTTGACCCAAGTACATGGGCTCTGGACACATAAGTAGGAAATCTAGTTGGAAATCCAGGCTCCTGGCTTCAGCCTGGCTCAGACTTGGCTGTTTATAGTTTGGGAGTGAACCAGTGGATGGAAGATCTGTGTGTCTCCTTTTCTGATGCTCTACCTTTCACATAAATACATCTTTAAAAAGATACATATATTTTTTAAAAAAGTATAACTTCAAAAAGTATTTTTAAAAACCCACAAAAAACAAAAACCAACCTGACGGCCCGACCCAATGGCTAAATCCTCACCCTGCGAACACCAGGATTCCATATGGGCACCAGTTTGTATCCCGGCTGCTGCACTTCCCTTCCAGCAATAGAGGATGGCCCAAAACCTTGGGACCCTGCATCCACGTTGGAGACCCCGAGGAGTAATTGTCCTGACTCCAGGCTTCGGATTGGCTCAGCTCCAGTCATTGTAGTCACTTGAGGAGTGAACCAGAGAATGGAAAATCTGTCTGTCTCTCCTCTTTGTATATCTGATCTGTCTTTCCAATAAAAATAAATAATAAAAATATTAGGGAAGATGGAGGAGCATCTGACTCAAGCTGACAGTGGAAAGGGTGAATGAGGTGGGTTACAGTCTTTTAGGGGAGCTGAGCCAGTGTTCATCATACAAGATAAATAGCACTATAGGGGACTTGGCATTATAAGTGAAATAAAAGTAAAATGTAGAGGAGAAAGTTATTAGGTGTTTTTGGATCTACAAGCAGTTTGGAGTTGGAGTTCAGAATGTGTGATAAGGTGCAGCTGGAATGAGTTTGGTGAGGGACCTAACATAATATTTTGTTGAGCCTATGTCTTACTCTGTAGGAGGTAGAGAGTAAACAAAGGATTTTATTCTATGTAAAAAATGTATTGAAAAGACAGAGGGAGATTTTCCCATCTGCTGCAGCAGCCAGCACAGACAGAACTCAGTTCAGGTGTTCCCAGTGGGCAGCAGTACCCAAGTAGTTTTGCTGTCACCTGTGCATCAACAGAGGCTGCATCGTGAAAGGGTTTTAAGTAGGAATTGACTGTTACATCTTTATTTCTGTTAGGCTGTACAGCTGATTGGATGATGGGCTCAAAGGGCACAAAGAATGGAAATAGTAAAGTCATTTGGGAAGTGTTGTAGTGGACTGTGTTAGAAATAAGGGCCTCAGCTTGTTGGTAACGGTGAAGAGCAGACAGTAGGAGGAATGATTGGGAGATCAAGAGTGATGCTTGGGTTTCCACAGACTCTTGGATGGACCATGAAC